CTCTGCCTCCCGAGTGCTGGGATTAAAGGCGTGCGCCACCACCGCCCGGCTAGCTGTTTGTTTTTTGAGATAGGATCTCACTATAGCCCTGGTAGCCATGGAACTGTAGTTCAGGCTGGTCTCACACTCGAAATAATCCTCCTGCCTCAGTCCTTTTGGGGTTGAGATAAGAGGCAACTGGTAAGCATTTTAAAGCTCTGTATATTTATTACTCAACAACTTGAATTTTTCTCCTTCAGTCTGTTTTTAGTATCCACTCCTATGTGTTTTTGATATGCTGGTGAGGTAGGGTGGGGAAACTGAGCCCCCACTTTGTTCTCGGCCCTGGATCCTTTTTACTTGTCCTTACATAGGCCTGACAATATTTAAAGATTGAGACTTGGGGCTTTTTCTGAATTCCTTCCAGAAGAGTCTCAGCTACTTGGTCATTTGGATGTGTGGCAAGAAGTGACCTGGGCCCACCCAGGCAGGTCTAAGTGTCTGTTCTGCTTTTGAGACGACCTGCCTGTCACAACTTAGCTGTCTTTTCCCTTATTCCGGCCCCCCTCCAAATGTTCAGGGGAGTGGCTGTGCCACGTGGTCAGATTGAACAAGGCTCCCAAGCCCCAGTTGCTGATAGGGGTGACCTGGCCTCCAGCTTGGGTCACAACTCTCTGGAGAGTGCCAGCTGCAGGCCAGGAGGAGCTGGGCAGCAGGACCTCTGTGCCTTATGATTGGGCTGCATGTGTCCTTGCCTTTGTCAGACGAGCGCAGCTGCTTCCTGAGACCTGCCTCTTCCAGATAGGAGTGATGTTCCTCAAAGCCCCAGGATAGAAACTGCCCTAAAGGAGAGTGCCACTGCATCAAACTGTAGACACCCACCAGCCCTTAGTTCTTTAGAACAAGGTGGACCTCTGTGCTCCCTGTCATCATGCTCCCATGCTGGAGTCCTGTCACCCCCCCACAGTCCATCTGGACCATCTCCATCAAGACTGAGTTCTGATGCACTCTTTCCCACCTGGCCTCTGCCTCTCTGCTCCCCTAACCACTCAGACCGGTCACCTGACACCCTTGGCCATTTCGGTCTTTGCCCAGCTGTGCATTCCTGGGTGGAGTAATCCTCAGCCCCTAGGACAGCAGCTCCCCTGGTAGAGGCCCAGGGCAGCCATTGAGGGAAGGAGTAGGAAGTGTTTGTTTCTCCCTCCCCCCCCTCCTTCCCCCTGGGGCTAAGGTTCCCCAGGTTACAAACATCAGCTGTCAGCTTGGTTCATGCTTTACCCACTTACTACCCTCCTCTGCTCATGTCTGGGGCACACATTTTGGAGTATTACTAACGGTCAGGACAACAGAGTCTAACCTCTTGAGTGTTGGCATGATGCTCAGTTTCAGCCTGGAGAAGCTTTTCATTCTTTCAGAGTGTGCAGCTGCTGGCCCCAAGCCCTTCTTGAGGGAGACTTAGCATAGTGTGTTAGTGTGGCAGTTGGACTGTGTGACTTGTGTCTGTGTGTTAGCAGGGGATGGTCACTGGCCTGCCGTACTTAGCCTGTGCTGGGTACCTTGGCTCTAGAGGACTTGTTAGAGGTTCTGGTCTCTGCTGCACCATTTGGTCTGTGGCATTTGACTTAGAGCTAGCTTCCTGACCAAGGTTCTGCAGCCTCCAGATAGCAGTTAATGGTGTCTGTGCTGCCTCAGAGCCACCTTTGGTACACCACAAGGACTCGGTCCCCTTGACCCCAGGGCTGGCAGAGGCGCCGTGTAGGACTCTTGCTGAGGGAGCTCTTTGCTGTACCCCACCTACCCACCAGCCTTCAGGCCCCACTGATGGTTGTGAGGGTTGCTGCACTGTGCAGACATGGGACTCAGCCCTGAGTGTTGGGAGAGAGCAGGGAGATTCTTGCTCTCGGTGCTCTAGCCCACCTCCTTAGTAGCTCGATGGCCCTTTTGACCTTCATATCTCTACTCTTCCTGTGCTGCTGCTATGCAGGCAGTGGCTGGTGAGACTCATCCTCCTGAACAGGCCTGTGGTAATGACTCTGGTGGGGCAGCTTTCTTTTTCCCTCTGGGAACTTTGAAACCTACCCTCATTTGCAAGTGAGTGATTCAGCCCCTTACTCTGCCTCTTAGGATGCTTCCTAAGGGAGGCTGGTTTCTTCTTGCCCACTTTGTGCCTGCAGTACAGTGGCTGTCAGCACTAGTCCCAGGGAGACCTTGGTCCTGCTGACCTTGAGGAGGTTGGGGCTCTTAGCACAGAATACCCTGGTGGGCTGGGTTGGTCACTCCTCAAGGGCACAGCTGTGGAGGCTGAGGCACTAGTGGAGAGGGCACAGCCTGCTTGGGACCTCTTTGGTGCCTACCAGTCCACCTCCGCTTGTCTTTCTGGAGGTGGGAAGGCAAATCCTAGGCATCCTTCCTCCTGCCTTCACTTAGCTCACCCTGAGGTCGGCTCAAGGTTTTGGGCCGAGGTAGGCCAAGCGCCAGGCTTCTCTGATAGCTTCTAACACATGGACCCAGTTTGAGTTCTGAGCAGGTAGCTGTCTCCATGTGACTGTGGAAGGGGAGTTGTCCTAGAGATACAGGGAACAGTTCCCCTAACCCTGTTAAAGACTCCTGCTTTCCTTTAGCCCTTTTCTCCTGGATCTCACTCTGTAGACCAGGCTGACCTCGAACTCACAGAGATCCCCCTGCCTCTGCCTCCCGAGTGCTGCTGGGATTAAAGGGGAGCGCCACCACCGCCCGGCCCCTCAGCCCTTTCATAGCAACAAGGGAGCGAGGCAGCGGGGTGGAGAAGGTGGACTCCAGGCAGGGTCTCGGTGGATTCAGAAGAACTACGAGGCCAAGGCCTGAGGCTGCCCTAGGAAAGCCCTTCCTGGCTGCAGCAGTTGTAGTGGTGGGGCGTTGAGGGCGGGGCCAGACCCAGAGCTTCACTCTCTGGTTTTCGAGACAGGTTTCACTGTACAGCCCTGGCTGTCCTGGATCTCGCTCTGTAGACCAGGCAGGCCTTGAACTCAGAGATCCATCTGGCTCTGCCTCCCGATTAAAAGGTGTGTGCCACCGCTGCCTGTCAAGCTTCACTCTTGAGAGTCATAATGACCCCCAGTTCCCACATGCCCTTCTTGTCAGAGGTTCTGGGCTCCCATCTTTCCCTGTCCAGGCCTGGGTGTGCTTGTATCCTGTCTGAGGGTACTACCAGGCTGCCTCCTCACTTGTCCTAGAACTCAGAGCAGCTCTGCTTCAGGCAGCCTTGACACCCAGGGCAGTGACTTGTTTGCTTTCGCAGGGAGACAAGACAGACAGATTGTCAGCAGATTTGATGGGCTTTCTGGTCAGTTGTTTTGGAGGAAGGGCAAAGCTGTAGAATTCCAGAGCTGAGAGTTGCTGGTGGAGTGGAGGGTTGGGATGGATGCTCTGGAATCTGGGGAGGTTGTCATGGTCTAGAGTGGCAGAGTTGTGGGCAGATGATAGGTTTTGGGACCCTATCCTGATCCACTCTGTACTGAGTCATACTAGGGTTAAAGCATCAGCCATACCTAGGAGGTGCCGGCTGAAGCTCTGGGTCCTCAGTCTTCTGAGATGGGGCAGGGAGCCTTCTGAGTCTGTGAAGAGAGTGACTGGATGGGGGAGCCGGGGAGGGGGTGTGACACTGGTTTGGCCATGGGAACACATCCTTGATATGATGCCCCTAGTCTTCCAGAACCTGGGAGGGGTTCCAGAACTGGCATTGTCCAGGACAGGCCCTCCCCACCATATTTGCCAGTGTGGAAACTGAGGTACCTGCAAGGAAATACCCTGCCATCTAGGTTGCAGAATCAGAAAACTTTCCCATTGTGAGCTGAGGTTCTCTGCAGGGCGAGATATATGTATTTTCATGGAACACAAATGTCCCATGAAAAACTATCCCCTGGATCCTGCCAGAACTCAGCCAGATTTTTTTCCTGCCTGTCCATAGTAAACTCTGGGTCTCTCTGACTGTCTCTAGTCTGGTGTTTTGTAGTGTTAAGACCTGGGGTTTGAGCGGCCCCTTTAAGAGCGCCTTGTCCCAGACCCTGCTGTGGAATGCCAGCAAGCTGTCCTCCTGTCTCTGCTAGGGTTAACAACACTTCACTTCAGCTGTGTTGTCTGGAACCGGTTCAGACTGGTTTTCTGGAAAGTGCTTTGTCTCTCTGACTGAATCCTGGGAAGGGTCATGTGGAGCCCAGTGATGTCATGGGATCAAAAACTGACTCAGCGGTTTGTGGGTTTTGGTGGGGTTTTTTTGTTTGTTTGTTTTTTGTTTTTTGTTTTTCCTCCTTTTTCTTTAAATCAAGGTATGTGTGTGCCACAGGTACAGGGCCATGTGGTGGCATGTTGGGATGGACCAGTCTGTACTCTGCTAAGAGTGTATCTCTGCCAAACAAAGAGCTTAATGTGACCCACACTTCTGGCTCCCTGGAGGGGAGCAGCAGAAGGTAGCTCAGGCACACAGTACCTGGGGTCACCTCTGTCCAAGTCCCCCGCATACCATCGCAGTGCAGGTGCCGGGCTGGCCCCTGGGCTGGTTTTCAAGCTCACAGTCAGCACCGTTCCTCCATAGAAGGACCCTGTGCAGTAACAGCTGCTACTGCTTTCCTCCCACTTGGATTCCATGGCTTCTCAGAGAGGGCCACACCCCAGAGGCCTGTGGACCCCTTTCCTGCCTAGTCATCCTGAAGGTGTGAAGAAAGTCTTGGACTTCTATGGTCCTGTCCTTGCCCCTTCTTCAGCTAGCCTCCTCCATGAGGAAAACAGTCACCCTCCAGACTTTAAGAAGGGTCTGCTCCTCTGTGCCTGGTTCAAATGCTGTGTCCTCCCTTTCACATACAGAATGAGTGAAGAAGCATGTCGAACCCGCAGTCAGAAGCGAGCCCTTGAACCTGACCTAACGGAGGATGATGTGGAGAGCAAGAAAATGAAAATGGAGAGAGGACCATCAGAGCTAACCATGGACGGAGACACCAGGGTGATGCCTGAGCTGGGTGCAGGCCCAGCCCAGGGGTTGCTAAGGACAACAGAGGCCATGGCCACGGTATCAGGCGAAGGAATGGTAGGAGACGGGCCTGTGGACATGCGTACCTCACACAGGTGAGTGAGAAGAGTTGGTGGGTTGGGCTGGAGCCAACAGGGCTAGGTGCAGGGTCGGGGTGTCCCTGAGTCCTGGGCTGGGGCACTGTCAGTGCCAGGTCCGTGGGTCTCAGAGGAGGAAGTCCCTTGCTGTCTGGGTCTGCCACTTGTGGGGTTCTAGGAGGACTGGAGCATTGCTTTGGTGTGAGTGCCTCAGGGAGGCCAGCCTGCGTGCCCTGCCTGTGTCACTGCTCTGCTCTGACGGACTTCTGCCATCTGCTCTGGGTTTCTCCTGGTCCTCGCTAATTACTTCAAGGGGACTTTGCTGGTACTCAGGCTTTATGACACTCAAAGGTGAAAGCCTGAAGGAAGTCAGACTAACCTTTCTTCAGAACACTCTAGAATGGAGCATTTACCCCAGACTCCACTGAGCGCACAGCCTTCCATCCTGTGATGGAACTTCCTCTGACCCCCTCTTCTGCCCACCAGGATCCTTTACCTTGAGGATCCCCGCCCAGCTTGCCTCATGTTTACCCAGTGAGGGCCAGAACGGTGGGGTTCAGAAAGCTAGTTCTCCACACATTCCCTGTAGTGCACAGGGATTTCAGTCTGTCGGCTTTGTGCAAATCCAGAGTGTTGGGACCCTGAGGGCTTCCACACTGGCTGGTGTATCTTAGAATCCTGACGGCCTGGAGGTCAGTGGGAAAGTCCAACCCCCTTCTATACTTCGTAAATTTGCCGTTAGGAAGTCTCTTCTCATCTGGGCAAACATGGCAGGATATGCCCATCGTTCCAGGAGGTACAGACAGAAAGTTCATTAGTTCAAGGTCATTTTCAGATGTATAAGGAGTTGGAGGTCAGCCTGGGATACACAGGACCCTGTCTCGCTAATAATCCTCTACTCCCTCAAAAACTTCTCTTCCTCTGACTGCTTTCTGCTGCCCTGTTCTGAACCTAGGGACTTATTTACAAACAAGTCAAAGTGACAGGCTTGGGCTCCTTTTCCTCCCTGGGACCTTCTGGGTCCTTAGCCCTCTAGTGAGATCTTTGATGGATGAGCTCCCAAAGCCAAGGGAGAGGGAGATGCCAGGTCTGTTCCATGTTTTGTCCGCTGGGGCCTGCTCCTTTGTGGGTGGGCTGGTGAAGTCCCGAGTTGAGTGTTAAGGGGTGAAAGAGCCCCTCTTCTGTTGCCGAAGCCCAGGACTGCACCAGGCCTCTGACCCTCTGGGGCCCTTCCTGGGCTGTTGGTTTCTAAACTGTCTCTTGGATGTGGCATTCACTGAAGCTGCTTAGGATGATTTCTTATGATACTTAAGGATATGGGAAACAGCTCACCCAGAGACTCTGGAGTGAGGGTTGCCTACAGACTAGAGACCCCAGGGACCTGGCTGATACAAGTGTAAGAATGGAGAAGAAACTTAACCCTGCAGGTCAGTGGGCAGAGTTGGGGGCCAGGTCACATGCTCCAGCTCTCCCTGGGCAGAACATCCCAGCCACATTCCTTCCTGGTGTAGTAGTCACCCTGTTTCACAGGTTGATGAAGTGACAGGAAATGTGCTCTCAGTGGCAACCTCTGCAGTGTGGGGACAGTCTGAAGGGAACAGCCCTAGTTTCTGTGTTTGGTCTTCCCTGGAGTATCTGGCCAGGGACCTTTAGGGACTTTCCTCCAGCACTGTGTGTGTTCTGTTGGTGTCAGGCAGGGGTTGGGTTCTGTGGGTACTCATGTAATGAGTGTGTCCACCTAGAGTAGTGAGGGTGAGGTTATACCACCACCACCGCCCTGTTTTTTGTGTAGCTTTGGTACCTGTCCTGGATCTTGCTCTGTAGACCAGGCTGGCCTTGAACTCAGAGATCTGCCTGGCTCTGCCTCTTGAGTGCTGGGATTAAAGGCGTGCGCCACCACTGCCCAGCTTGGTGAGGTACTCTTGCTTTGGGCTCACCACACTTGTATTTAGAGAATATTTTGCCAGGCGGTGGTGGCGCACGCCTTTAATCCCAGCACTGGGAGGCAAAGGCAGGAGGATCTCTGTGAGTTTGAGGCCAGCCTGGTCTACAGAGCGAGATCCAGGAAAGGTGCAAAGCTACACAGAGAAACCCTGTCTTGAATGAATAGAATAGAATAGAATAGAATAGAATAGAATAGAATAGAATAGAATAGAATAGAATAGAATAGAATAGAATAGAATATTTTATCAGATGCATATAGACAAAGCCTTGCAGGCTTAATGCTATGCATTACCCTATTCAACTGGAAAAATATTTTAAGCCGAACATTTCTAGACCAATATGGCTGTTAATTTCCATACAGTGCCAGCTCGACCTGGTAAACTAGCACACTTTTCCAAGGTTGATAAGACAAAGCTAGTTTCCAAAATTCAAATCATACAAATAAGGATACATATATAAGGAGCAATGTGTGCAACATCAGTGGCCACAGCTTTCCAAGTTCTTCAGTCAGATGAGCCAAACTAGAGGCGCCCAGGTAGTATGTTAGCTATAAATTGTGCCCAAAGACGTGTTTTTATTTTTTTAATTTTTTTTTTTTCCCTTTTTCTTTTGAGGCAAGGTCTTGCTGGTAGCCCTGGCTGGCCTGGAACTATGGATATAGACTAGACTAGCCTTGAACTCAAAGATACCCATCTTCCTGCCTTTGCTTCCCATTACTGGTTAAAGATGTGTGCCAACATGCCTGGCTTCTTTAAGTTTTTTTTTTTTTTTTTGTTAATTTGGGGGGTGGGTAACGTGGGAATCTGTGCTCATGGAGCCCAGAAGTCAGCTCAGAACCTGTTCAGAAATTGAGCCCCAGAAACCCACCTGTCTCCACGTCCCCAATCCTGAGATTATAGGCACCACCAAGCCCTGCTGTTTATGTGGGTGCTTGGGGTGGAGCTGTCTCCCCAGCACTTGCTCTGTAGATTTGAAAAGTGTGTGCTACCTCTTGGTCCAGACCAAGAGGTGAACATGGACGGTCCTCTGGGTTGCAGCCACTGCCCTCCAAGGGTATGTGGTTTCCTGTCTTTGGACAGCTTAGTTTCCATCAGGTTAGCTTGGTTTGTATTTGTAGACTTACGTGTGTCCTCTTTGTCACCTGGCTTTCATTCCACACTGTGTGTGTGAGATTTGTACGCACTGCTTCATAGCCCAGACAATGCCATCTGTCCCCATGGGTTCCACACTAACAGTTTCAACCAGTCACAGTCAGAACTAATGAGCAGGCTGGGGAGGGTGTAGCCTAGTAGTAATATGTTTTCACTGCTATGACAGAATGCCGGACAAAAACTGCTTGACAGAGAAGTTTAGTTGGGTAGTGGTTTGAGGATATAACCCATTGTGGCAGGGAGGGATGGAGGCAGGAGCATGAGGCATCTGGTCAGCAGCAGTGTTTCTGTGATCACAAAGGAGAGAATGAGGAATGATACCGGTATGCAAATTGTTTCTTCCTTTTCATGCAGAATTGGACCCCAGGCCATGGTGTGGTGCTGCCTTCATTCACAGTGGTCTAGAGGTGTGTCTTTTAGGTGATTCTAAATTCCATCAGGCTAACAATCAAGATTAACCATTGCAGGTAGAGCACAGGACCCGGAGTTCAGTGCCCAGCACCCAAAAGAAAAGTGTGTACGATTTGTGCTTATGCTAAACGTGTAAGGACTTTGTGGTTGCTAGTCCGTAAGCAGAGTGTCAGCTGTTTTGAATGATGTACAATACAACATGTACGAACAGTCATCCCGTGTTATACCAGAGGCTGGAGCATCTCAGAACTGGGGGGTGGAGAAGGCCTGGGGTCACCGGCCACTGGTACCAAGGTTTTGACTATATGCTTCTGGAAATTCTTTTTTTCTTTGTTTATGTATGTGGGTCGGTTTATGTGTCCAAGATGGCGTGTCAGCTCACTGACGCTGGAGTTCGGGCATTTGTGAACGACCTGACTGATGTGGGTGCTGGGAATTGAATTCCAGTCCTCTGCAAGAGCAGTATGTGCTCTTAACCACTGAGCCATTTCTGCAGCCTGCTTCTAGAATTCTAATTGGCTCTTTTTCAAAACTTCTCTTTGTGTCATGCTTCCATCATGGACATTTTGAAGGCTAGGATAGGCTCTGGTGGTAGCAGAGACATGGAATTTCTGTTTTCTTTGAAGAGGAGGCTGGATTCAAGTCATTTAAGCAATGGCTCTGTGAATATCTGTATCATTGCAGCCAGGTGACTTAGAACATGGGTGGCAGATGTAGTAGTGGGGTCAGCACTCTAGACCCCTGTCTTCCACTCTAAAGTTTTTCTGGCTGTCTTGAAGTGTGTGTTTTATATTTGGAATAAATTGAGATTAGGGGGCAGTTTGGGATTATGACTGAAGAAAGCATCAGATCTCCTTCCCAAAAGGCAGTGGGTGGCACAGTGAGACAGAAACTGTGCTCCTCGGCACCTGGGAGCCTGCCAGGGCTCACAGCATCTTCCTGGAAGCACTTTCTCAGGAACTTACTGGCCTTGGGAGTATGTGACCTGGGACTACTACACATTCTCCCACTCCTTGGCGAGTGTAGGCTGAGGACCAGCAGCTTGTTTGGGGTATGGGGCCTAGGGCAGCACTTTGCCCATCATGGATTTTGGTCATTGAATCTTGAAAAGATAATGACCCAGTGCTGTGAGGACCAAGAGTTAAAGCGTGGCCTGGGCCAGTCTCAAACAAGGAAATAACTTTAAAATACAAAGAAGAGAGCAGTGTTTAACATAAACGAAGACAAAGTTGCTGAGGAAAAGAGAACAGGAAAGAAGGCAGAGAAGTATGCAGAGCAGCCGCACCAGTGGGCAGGGGGCATCAGGCTGGATAATGAAGCCCAGCTCAGTCACACAGTGTCTCTCTTGAAGTGACACCCTCTAGGTTTGAGGAGAGAGAGAACAAAGCAAACACCGGAGCCCTGGGTGAGTTCATGAACAATAAAGTGATTTGAAGACAGAAACTGTTATCTTATAGGATTGCCAAGCAAGAGAGGGGCTTTGGGGGTGGGGACTCTCACTATGTAGTTGAG